CCCCAAAACCCCAAAACCCCAAAACCCCAAAACCCCAAAACCCCAAAACCCCTGGACTTCATAGTTCAGCTGAAAATCGATATAAGAAATTTAATGGAATTTAATAATTAATTTAAACCTTACTATTAAAACATGAGTGGATCAAGAAATATCTACAGAAGAGCATATTGCTCTAAATACAACGAAAATAGCTCCTTGCCATCCAACTTCGAGCCAAGACTTGACCAACAGGTCATTATAAGACCTGAGGTCAGAGAAACAACTACGGCTAAGCCAAGAGTCAAATGGGCCAAGAGCATCCTTGTCAAGGAGTTTGTGAAGGCTCCTACTACCAAAGAGATCAGAAATATTCAGTTCAAGGCAGCTACTGTCTCTAAGGTTATTGGAAAGAGCATTTTGAAGAGGAAGTCTTTGGAAGATAATCTTGCTGATTACGATACTGAATGTTCTAGCGTCAAAGAGGACCAGGCTCCTCTTCCCACGATGCCAGTGACTACCCAGAAGAGAGCTCTCAGAATGAGGATATCTCCAGAGAGAGAAACTTACTCTCTCATGGAGACTAGAACTCCTTCTATGAGAGACCTTTCTTCTCATAAATACACTCATAGCAGATCTGGAATTCACAGTTCTGGAAGACCAAAAGTGAAATCTAGTATGTCAAAATTTGCTCAGAGGCTGGCAGAGAAGTACGACCTGACCTTGAGCTCCGAAATCTTGAGCAGGAGGAGAAATGCCTTCAGGCATCATGCCTAGACTGATGGCTAGGAGCCTTTTTCTTAATAATTTATAAGGAAAAGTAGTGCTGGTCACCACTTTTCTATAACATAATTTCCAAAAATCTTCTTCTTTGTTAGTGAGCAAATTTAGTCAAAGTAGCTCGATTAGGTGAATTTTCACCAGAATCGAGATAATGGTCTCTACTTAGAATCCAATATGCTTTGGTGACCAGCACCAAGGAAGTGCTTAACATGTCTAACTATTGATGCTTTGAGATCACAGCTTGCTACCAGCAACCATGATCAGGAGCGATACAGAAATGGGTGCTCTATCGAAACTGAAAACCGATAAACTACTATTCTCAAAATCAAATTTATCGAGAAAATTCTCAAATTAGAATAAAATGATCTGTCCAATTTTCTTCTTCCCTAAAGGGGTTTTGGGGTTTTGGGGTTTTGGGGTTTTGGGTTTTTGGGGTTTTGGGGTTTTGGGGTTTTGGGGTTTTGGGG